ATGTCTATTGTGTTTCTTGAAAACGAACTGACGAACAACTTTTTTCTTCGTCTGTCAGCATCCTCCCCATCGTCTTTTCATCCATCCATCATTTTATTTATCAAATTTATGGCTGTAATATGTTTTTTTAGCTTTCGTCTCTCTCTCTGTCCTTCTGTCTATCTTCATTTTCTTCCCTCTGTTTGATTCTTTTTCAATTCGTCCAGATCGTGAATATATATATGAAATAGATGATGGAAAGGTATGGTACTAGCTGAAAACGATTGCATAGCACAATGCCAATTGCGGACACTGATATGCTATAGCGCCATTTGCGGATTTGCGGACGATAATAGAGTACAGTGTAGTTGCTGACAGTAACACAGTGCAGTGTTGCGGACAGTGACACAATAGATGAGTACGATTGCGGACAGTAAACAATAGACAATAACATAATATGGTGCCACTTGCGGACAGTAACATAGTGCAGTAGCGGACAGTGACGCACTACTAGTACTAATTGGCCTGTAATACAATAAATGCACCTGGTATCAACGGAACATATCAGTTGCAAACATCGAACATTCTGTGTGATATATTCAGCACGATAGTACATTTTGCTTCCTTTTGGTTGAATAAACTCTCATTTACCAATAAAGTGAGAGCAGGTGGTTGAAATAGAGTTAGAAAATTGAATAATTTACAGGAATTAACGTAATGGAATAATTGAAATATACATATAATAAGACATAATTACAAATAACTATTCAATTGATTAATAAAATTTCCTTCGTAAATGAAAAAAAAAAACTTTTGTATTGATTGAAATAATTGTATAAAAGTAATGTGACATAACTAATAAAATGAATTGTTCTCTTTTTCCTAATTTCAAATTTTAATTTAATATGATAATTAATTTTGTTTGCTATTTATATGTCAATGATATATTATTTCATTTGATTTTTTCATTATAATAGGATAATTTTTGTGATGTGAAATTACATTATAATACAATTATACATCTTCTTCTTTTCTTTCTTTTTTCAAAAAAATTTATTTTTTTTTTTTTTGAAAGTTAAGCACAAGTGATAAAAAATTATTTTGAAAATTTTAAGTCAGAAAAATTTGAAATGTTTGTGAAAATTTTTTGTCACTTTTGTAACTGATTGAAACACACTGATAATAATAAATCAATTTTCAAATCGATTTATGAGATAAAAAAAAAAAAGAATTATTTGTTGCACATAAGATTGATTTATTATTATCAAATAGATTAATTGATTTAATGGATGGGAAATGATTAAATTTTAGGAAAAAAAAACTGTGAAAGACAAAGAATGAAATTAATAGAATTAAATTGTTGGTTGTTTATGATAATAAAAATTAATTTGAAAATAAATGAATGATTTAGCTAAGATGTTCAGATCAATCTTATAAAAGTTCATTTTGATATATCTTATCAGCTAAACAATTGAAATGTGTTATTTATCAATTAGCTGTGTGATCAGCGTAAGAGCGTTTAAGAAAAAAAAATTGATAAATTAACAAATCATTAAAAGTGCTTTCATTTGAATGCAAATGAATTTAGAAAGGAGAAATTGTCACAAAAATGTCACACTGATTATAACTGATAGAATATTGATATTATAAAAATAATTTAACATTTAATATCCTTAATCTACTTAAATTACATTGATATTGTGATATGATAATATTGGTAAATTATTTACACTGATTTGATAATATTGATTAAATCAGTTGAATCAATTAATGCTTTTAAAGAATGCGGCATTGATCATTTAATGATTTAATGAGCAAAAAAAAAAAAAAAAAAATTATATTAAATTTCTCATAATTTCATTCAGTTTAACAGCAAATGTTTTGAATCTAATAGATTTAATCAATAATAATTAGGATTCTATAGCAGTTTTACTAATTATCAATTAATTAGTTATTTTTAAAAGTTATCAAATATAGTTCTGATAATAACTTCATATTATCACGAATCAATTATTCTAAAAAGATTTGAGCGCAAAATTAAAATTATAAATTCAAATATAAGCATAAAACTGCTGAAATTGTTAAAATATGCATAAATTACGTAAAACTGATAGCTGTAATTATTTGAAACTATTAAAACTGAATGGAATTTTTTTAAATAATAAACTTTTCTTAATTAAATGAAAAAATTAATTTGACAAAAATATAATTTAAGCTAAAAATATAAATATAAAATTCTGCTTTTGAAACTTAGGTAACATTAGATGAAAAATTTAACACTTATTGGCTTGGCTAGTAGAGATATGATAACAGTTTATATCAATTATAAATTTATCACTAAAGTCAAATTTTTTATATCAGATTGCAAAATTATAAAAATTTTTCTCGAGAAATATATCAATCGGTAAAGCTTATTTAATTAAATTAAGCTACAAAAATCTAGCAAAACAAAAATTTTAAGTTATTTTAAAATAAAAATAGGTGTAAGAAAATGTTAAATTTGAAATTTTGCAAAGTCAAATTTTTTATATCAGATTGCAAAATTTAAAAATTTTCTCGAGAAATATATCAATCGGTAAAGCTTATTTAATTAAATTAAGCTACAAAAATCTAGCAAAACAAAAATTTTAAGTTATTTTAAATAAAAATAGGTGTAAGAAAATGTTAAATTTGAAATTTTGCAATCATTTAGCTTTCAGCATGAAGGTAATATGTAAGCTTAATTGCTAAACTTTTTGATTTTGATTAAAGTAATATATAATAAATTAAAGTAATATATAATCAATTTTTGATTTTGATTAAAGTAATACTTAATAAATTTTTTTTTTAAGTAATATTAAAAACTATTTCAAAAATTATTGGTATTAAAATTGAAAAGATTATAAATTCAAACCACATGTAAATTCTTGATAGGATTTTTTATCCTGAAATTAATTATAAATATGTTTTGAAATTTGCTCATTTTTATAACAAATAATCTTTGCTTTTTCAAAATTTCTCAAATTTTGAAGGAACTACAACTATTACCAATTTCAGGATTTAAAAAAAAAATAAGTGACAAAATTTGTTATTTCATACTCGAGGAATTTTATAAGAAAAATTTAATTATTATTATTAATTATCAATTTATTTTCAGTGTTCAATTGTTATTTTATGATTATTTTTTTTTTTTTTTTTTTTTTTTTGCGACAAAGAAAATTTTGTCAAATAATTGAACATTTGTCCACAAAATTGTTATTAGCTTTATTGGATAGTTAAAACAATCATTTTTTGATTTGTCTAAAATGATCGTGATTTGATTCTAAATGATTGCAGTTATTTTGATCAATTAGCTATGATCAATGCTTTTTTTTTTTTTGAACTGATTATTATTCAATGATAATTTTCCTAAATGTAAAGAAAAAAAGGACGAAAATGAATTGCTTTTTGATCATTTATTAGTTGCATTGATTGCCATTGATTAGCATATATTATCTGAAATATGAGCTAATATTCGATTACTTAAAATTGAATTGCAAATTCAAGAATCAAATATTGCTAATAATTGAAAATAGCAATGACTAAATTTATAAGTAACATAATTTTTTACTTTTTTTTTTTACTAATTTTTACTTTATTACTTTTTCTAAAATATTTGAGCTATTATACAATGCAAGATAAACAATATTACATTCCAAATATTCTAAATTAAATATTAGCAAATAGATGTCCTTAAACATGCTAGAATTCCACATGCTAGAATAAATTTAAATAAAGCATAACCATTTAAATATCACCAAAAAAAAGTATAGTAATTTAAGTAGACAAATTTTGAAAAAAAAAGAAAAAAAAGGTATGACATATATTAGTAGTTAAATTTGAAAGGTAGCAATAATAACAATAACAGTAACAATATTTACCAAATTCTTTGAAACTTTAAAAGAAAATTAGTTTTTCTTAAAAAAGAAAAAATATTTTTTCAATTTCATTAATTTCATCATTTTTAAATGAATATTTTTTGTTTCGCTGATTTTTTTTAACTAATCTAATTTAGGTACTAAATAGTTTAATTGATTCTTTTATTCTATATTATATTGCAACTAAAAATAAAAATTATTTCATAATTTAATTTAATCACTGAGTTATTCAATTTATTATCATCAAAACAGATAGCAAACATGATTTTTTTTTTGTAATTTTAGGTTTTTTTTTTCTTTTTTCTTTCCTATCATATTTTTGTTCTCATTTTTTTTTTTTTTTTTGTTAAGCAAGAAAAAAGACATAAAAATTCAATGAAATACCATACGGAAATTCATTTAAAAAAAAATTATTGATCATAAAACTTTCAATAGCCTTTGCAATTTTAACTTTTTATTTTGTTTTTGTCCTTTTATCTCTTTCTTTTCTGGTCGTTTTAATTCTAGAAAAATTCATTCAGAAATTTATTCAGCCCTCATCGCTCTACCACCCCCGCGCCTACAGGCCACGCCTTCGTCGCCCCGCCCCTAATACGCTTGCTTGACCACGCCCTTTTCGCCCCGCCACGCCCCCTTTCGTCCCGCCCCTGCCATACTGCACCTTCTATCACTGTACCTCTTATCACTGTACCTTTATCACTGTACCTTTATCACCGCCTATCACTACCTTATCACTACACCTCTATCCTCTTATCACTGTACCTCTTATCACTGCACCTCTTATCACTGTACCTCTATCACTGCACCTATCACTGTACCTCTTATCACTGCACCTCTTATCACTGTACCTCTTATCACCACCTCTATCACTGTACCTCTTATCACTGCACCTCTTATCACTGTACCTCTTATCACTGTACCTCTATCACTGTACCTTCATCATTACCTCTTATCACTGCACCTCTTATCACTGTACCTCACCTTTTATCACTGTACCTCTTATCACTGCACTCTTATCACTGTACCACTGTACCTCTTGATCACTGCACCCTTATCACTGTACCTCTTATCACTGCACCTCTTATCACTGTACCTTTATCACTGTACCTTTATCACTGTACCTCTATGTCTTTATCACTGTACCTTTTATCACTGCACCTCTTATTACCTGTACCTTCTTATACTGTACCTCATACTGTACCTTTATCACTGTACTCTGTACCGTACTCTTATCACCGTACTTGGTACCGTACTTTTGGTCCTCTTGTTACCTCTTGGTACCGTACCTGTCTATGGTACCGTACCTTTGTTATTGTACCTCTTGTTACCGTACCTTTTATCACCGTACCTCTTGGTACCGTACCTCTTATCACTGTACCTCTTGGTACCCGTACCTCTGTTACCGTACTTGGTCCCTCTTGTTACCGTACCTTTTGGTACCGTATCTTGGTACCGTACCTTATTACGTACTTGTTGTACCGTACTTTTTACCACGTACCTCTTGGTACCGTACTTTTATCATGTACCTCTGGTACCGTACCTTATACAGTGTTCTTGGTACCGTACCTGTGGTACCTTGTACTATATTTACTTTGGTACCACCTCTTTTGGTACCTATACCGTACTTGGTACCGTATCTTTATTACTGTACCTCTTGTATTACCTCTGTTACCGTACTTTATCACTGTATCCTTGGTACCGTACTCCTAACCGTTTTAACAAAGATATGGTACCAAAAGGCGCGGTAACAAGAGGTTCGGTACTAAGAGGTACGGTAACAAGAGGTACAATAACAAAAGTACGGTACCAAGAGGTACAGTGATAAGAGGTACGGTACCAAGAGATACAGTGATAAAAAGTACGGTAACAAGAAGTACGGTAGCAAGAGGTACATTAACAAAAGATACGGTACCAAAAGATACAATAACAAAAATTACGGTACCAAGAGGTACGGTGATAAAAGGTACGGTACCAAGAGGTACAGTAATAAAAGATACGGTACCACGAGGTACACAATTAAAAACGGTACCAAGAGGTACGGTAACAAGAGGTACAATAAGAAAGTACGGTACGAAGAGGTACAGTGATAAGAGGTACGGTACCAAGAGATACAGATAAAAAGTACGGTAACAAGAGGTACGGTACCAAGAGGTACAGTAATAAAAGATACGGTACCACGAGGTACAATAACAAAAAGTACGGTACCAAGAAGTAGAATAATAAAAGGTGCGGTAACAAGAGGTACATTAACAAAAGATACGGTACTAAAAGATACAATAACAAAATTACGGTACCAAGAGGTGTAAAAGGTACGGTACCAAGAGGTACGGTGATAAAAGGTACGGTACCAAGAGGTACGGTACCAAAAGGTACGGTAACAAGAGGTGCATAACAAAAAGTACGGTACCAAGAGGCGTGATAAGAGGTACGGTACCAAGAGGTACGGTGATAAAGGTACGGTACCAAGAGGTACGGTGATAAAAGGTACGGTACCAAGAGGTACGGTACCAAAAGGTACGGTAACAAGAGGTACAATAACAAAAACGGTACCAAGAGGTACGGTGATAAAGGTACGGTACCAAGAGGTACGGTATAAAAGGTACGGTAACAAGAGGTATAATAATAAAAAGTACGGTACCAAGAGGTACAGTGATAAGAGGTACGGTAACAAGATACAGTGATAAAAAGTACGGTACAAGAAGTACGGTACAAGAGGTACATTAACAAAAGATACGGTACCAAAAGGTAATAATAAAAATACGGTACCAAGAGGTACGGTGATAAAAGGTACGGTACCGAGGTACAGTAATAAAAGGTACGGTACCAAGAGGTACATAACAAAAGTACGGTACCAAGAGGTACGGTAACAAGAGGTACAATAAGAAAAAGTACGGTACCAAGAGGTACAGTGATAAGAGGTACGGTACCAAGAGGTACAGTGATAAAAAGTACGGTAACAAGAGGTACGGTACCAAGAGGTACAGTAATAAAGATACGGTACCACAGGTAGACAAAGTGTACGGTACCAAGAGGTAGGTAATAAAAGGTACGGTAACAAGAGGTACGGTAACAAAAGGTACGGTACAAAAGATAATAACAAAAAAGTACGGTACCAAGAGGTACGGTGATAAAAGGTACGGTACCAAGAGGTACAGTGATAAGAGGTACGGTACAAGAGGTACGGTAACAAAAGGTACGGTAACAAGAGGTGCAATAACAAAAGGTACGGTACCAAGAGGTACAGTGATAAGAGGTACGGTACCAAGAGGTACGGTGATAAGAGGTAGTGATAAGAGGTGCGGTAATAAGAGGTACGGTACCAAAAGGTACGGTACCAAAAGGTGCGGTATAAGAGGTACAGTGATAAGAGGTACAGTGATAAGAGGTACAGTGATAAGAGGCAGTGATAAGAGGTACAGTGATAAGAGCAGTGAAAGGTACAGTGATAAGAGTGCAGTGATAAGAGGTACAGTGATAAGAGGTGCAGTGATAAGAGGTACAGTGATAAGAGGTACAGTGATAAGAGGTGCAGTGATAAGAGGTACAGTGATAAGAGGTGCAGTGATAAGAGGTACAGTGATAAGAGGTGCAGTGATAAGAGGTACAGTGATAAGAGGTGCAGTGATAAGAGGTACAGTGATAAGAGGTACGGTGATAAGAGGTACAGTGATAAGAGGTACAGTGATAAGAGGAGGCAGTGATAAGAGGCAGCGGCGGGGGCGGACGAAAGGGGCGTGGCATGCGGGCGTGGCGGAGGCGGGGCGAAAAGGGCGTGGTCAAGCAAGCGTATTAGGGGCGGGGCGACGAAGGCGTGGCCTGTAGGCGCGGGGGTGGTAGCGGAGCGATGAGGGCTGAATAAATTTCTGAATGAATTTTTCTAGAATTAAAACGACCAGAAAAGAAAGAGATAAAAGGACAAAAACAAAATAAAAAGTTAAAATTGCAAAGGCTATTGAAAGTTTTATGATCAATAATTTTTTTTTAAATGTAATTTCCGTATGGTATTTCATTGAATTTTTATGTCTTTTTTTCTTGCTTAACAAAAAAAAAAAAAAAAAAAAATGAGAACAAAATATGATAGGAAAGAAAAAGAAAAAAACCTAAAATTACAAAAAAAAATCATGTTTGCTATCTGTTTTGATGATAATAAATTGAATAACTCAGTGATTAAATTAAATTATGAAATAATTTTTTATTTTTAGTTGCAATATAATATAGAATAAAAGAATCAATTAAACTATTTAGTACCTAAATTAGATTAGTTAAAAAAATCAGCGAAACAAAAAATATTCATTTAAAAATGATGAAATTAATGAAATTGAAAAATATTTTTTCTTTTTTAAGAAAAACTAATTTTCTTTTAAAGTTTCAAAGAATTTGGTAAATATTGTTACTGTTATTGTTATTATTGCTACCTTTCAAATTTAACTACTAATATATGTCATACCTTTTTTTTTTTTTTTTTTTCAAAATTTGTCTACTTAAATTACTATACTTTTTTTTTTTGGTGATATTTAAATGGTTATGCTTTATTTAAATTTATTCTAGCATGTGGAATTCTAGCATGTTTAAGGATATTTATTTGGTATTATTTAATTTAGAATATTTGGAATGTAATATTGTTTATCTTGTATAATAGCTCAAATATTTTAGAAAAAGTAATAAAATTAATGAAATTGAAAAAATATTTTTCTTTTAAGAAAACTAATTTTCTTTTAAAGTTTCAGAATTTGGTAAATATTGTTACTGTTATTGTTATTATTGCTACCTTTCAAATTTAACTACTAATATATGTCATACTTTTTTTTTTCTTTTTTTTTTTTCAAAATTTGTCTACTTAAATTACTATACTTTTTTGGTGATATTTAAATGGTTATGCTTTATTTAAATTTATTCTAGCATGGAATTCTAGCATGTTTAGGATATCTATTTGGTATTATTTAATTTAGAATATTTGGAATGTAATATTGTTTATCTTGTATAATAGCTCAAATATTTTAGAAAAGTAATAAATTTTGATTTTCTAGCAAGTTTTTTTGGAAAATTGTTCTGGGAAGTATAATAATTATAAAATAAATAAATGTATCGAATATGATATATGTTGAAATGGAATCAAACTATTATATATGTTGATTGAAATGGAATCAAACTAAAAAAACTTTTGTATTGATTGAAATAATTGTATAAAAGTAATGTGACATAACTAATAAAATGAATTGTTCTCTTTTCCTAATTTCAAATTTTAATTTAATATGATAATTAATTTTGTTTGCTATTTATATGTCAAATATATTATTTCATTTGATTTTTTCATTATAATAGGATAATTTTTGTGATATGAAATTACATTATAATACAGTTATACATCTTCTTCTTTCTTTTTTTTCAAAAAAAAAAGTTCTTATGAAAATTTGAAATTTTATGAATTGATAAAATATGTAAGAAAATAAGTTTTTTTTTTTTTTTTTTTTTTTTTTTTTTAAATTGCACAAGTGATAAAAATTATTTTGAAAATTTTAAGTCGGAAAAATTTGAAATGTTTGTGAATATTTTTTGTCACTTTTGTAACTGATTGAAACACACTGATAATAATAAATCAATTTTCAAATCGATTTATGAGATAAAAAAAAAGAATTATTTGTTGCACATAAGATTGATTTATTATTATCAAATAGATTAATTGATTTAATGGATGGGAAATGATTAAATTTTAGGAAAAAAAAACTGTGAAAGACAAAGAATGAAATTAATAGAATTAAATTGTTGGTTGTTTATGATAATAAAAATTAATTTGAAAATAAATGAATGATTTAGCTAAGATGTTCAGATCAATCTTATAAAAGTTCATTTTGATATATCTTATCAGCTAAACAATTGAAATGTGTTATTTATCAATTAGCTGTGTGATCAGCGTAAGAGCGTTTAAGAAAAAAATTGATAAATTAACAAATCATTAAAAGTGCTTTCATTTGAATGCAAATGAATTTAGGAAAGGAGAAATTGTCACAAAATGTCACACTGATTATAACTGATAGAATATTGATATTATAAAAATAATTTAACATTTAATATCCTTAATCTACTTAAATTACATTGATATTGTGATATGATAATATTGGTAAATTATTTACACTGATTTGATAATATTGATTAAATCAGTTGAATCAATTAATGCTTTTAAAGAATGCGGCATTGATCATTTAATGATTTAATGAGCAAAAAAAAAAAAAAATTATATTAAATTTCTCATAATTTCATTCAGTTTAACAGCAAATGTTTTGAATCTAATAGATTTAATCAATAATAATTAGGATTCTATAGCAGTTTTACTAATTATCAATTAATTAGTTATTTTTAAAAGTTATCAAATATAGTTCTGATAATAACTTCATATTATCACGAATCAATTATTCTAAAAAAAGATTTGAGCGCAAAATTAAAATTATAAATTCAAATATAAGCATAAAACTGCTGAAATTGTTAAAATATGCATAAATTACGTAAAACTGATAGCTGTAATTATTTGAAACTATTAAAACTGAATGGAATTTTTTTAAATAATAAACTTTTCTTAATTAAATGAAAAATTAATTTGACAAAATATAATTTAAGCTAAAAATATAAATATAAAATTCTGCTTTTGAAACTTAGGTAACATTAGATGAAAAATTTAACACTTATTGGCTTGGCTAGTAGAGATATGATAACAG